TGGGACTATGATCACTTATTCCCCCTTTAGACAACCCATTCTTCATCAGGAATGGCTTTGGGTCTTTCTCCATGATCCACCTTCTCTGGAACTTTCTGTGTTACAGTGGTTGCTTGTTACAGCCTCAAATCCTTAACCTCGGGGTTATATAGTTCGATGTAATAGGCTGGATACAAACAACCAGATCCTGTTGAAAAACGGACAGAGTTGTTGGTAAACAGCAGAGACCTGAACACATGCCCAGTACACATTTGAAATGTTGCCAGCCAGTAGGAAAGGATCCAGAAACCTGTGTCAGTTTGGTGACACTAGACTTAGGGAAAAGTCAAAGTCACAAAGCTTGCCATAACTGGGAGTTGTCTCCCCAAAGTGTTCTCATCTGGGGTCCCGATAGGATTGTGAGCAATCCTGCTTGCCAGTCAAAGCTGAAAATGGGCTGGCAATTCTAATTGTTTTCCTGAGGTTAATGGAAATGACTAATATTAGAGAATTTCTGACTTGGTAGGTGGATATATCCCCAAAAGAGGTAGAAACTAAACACCTGACTTCTTAGAAGACACTCTTTGATCCCAGGCACTTCCTAGTAGACTCGTGGCTGTTTATAATAGCTGTATAAGATTATCTATTAAATTTACCTCTGTTTAAATGAATGAGACTTAAACTATGATATTTATTTATCAGGCTCCATTCAATTACTGGGGGGAGGGGGGAAGTTACCCTGAATCTAAATCACCAGTCTGGCTACTGACTAAACTGTGCTCCCCAAATACTTGCTGTTTGAAACTCTCTGGTTACTTCTGTGCCAGCAGCCTGGTGTCCTGGGTAGCATATCACTCCGGCATGTGTTCTTGGTCCATCATGACTTCTGAAGACCTCCTGTTCTCTCATCTTCTCCTCCTTTGTGCTCTTTCTCTCCTCTCTCCTCCTCACGAAGCCTACCTGCAACCCCCAACCCCATAACTCAAACTCCACCTCTCTCCATTGCCCCCAGTAAGTGGCTGTCACCAGTTTTATTTTAACCAATAGTTTTATATTGGGGAGCAAGGTTTACATAGTATCACTTGGTATACTTGAGGATCTGCTCATCAAGGGCAACCAGATTTTGGGAGCCAGAATTTAGCATTTAAATACAAGAAGCACCAGACCAACCCCTACACATAACTGTGTAACGAGTGGCAGCTGGTTAAAGGAGGCCCTCCTGCCTCC